ACCGAGCTTGATTTAAATAATTAAAAGCCGGAATATTTAAAACGCTCGGTTAATTAATAAACGCGGCGCAAATCGCGGCGTTGCGTTGCGTTTTTTTTTATCAACGCGGTTCGAACGTGGATTCAAAAAACTGAACGTCTCGATCGATTTACATAGTCGTCGCGCCAATCTTAATGTTCGATACGTTTGTAAACAGAGGGGCGCATAATGAAAACGCGCGGATGTAACGAAGTAATAGCAAAGCACCCTGTGTGGAAGTCAATGAAATCTCGGCTCACGACGGTTCCGATGTTCATCTTCGTAGCTTTTAAGGTTAGATCAAGTTGGGTTACACGAGGTTAGGGTTTAAAGTATGTTCTCTTCAGTACAAGTGCCGAGATTCACTGACGCCGACGCAGAGCATCGCAACGGCACGTGCGTGCGTGCGTGCGTGAAAGGTCGTCGATAAAAATTCGCATGCATGCATACGTATGTATGTATGTATGTATGTATGTATGTATGTATGTATGTATGTATGATGTATGTATGTATGTATGTATGTATGTATGTATGTATGTATGTATGTATGTATGTATGTATGTATGATTGATGTATGTATGATTGATGTATGTATGTATGCGAATTTTTATCGACCTTTCACGCACACACGCACACACGCGCGCACGCATGACGCACGCACGTGCCGTTGCGACGCTCTGCGTCGGCGTCAGTGAATCTCGGCACTTGCACTGAAGAGGACATACTTTAAACCCTAACCTCGTAATCTAACTTGATCTAACCTTAAAAGCCACGAGGATGAACATCGGAATCGTTGCGTATCGTGAGCCGAGATTTCATTGACTTCCACACGGGGTGCTTTGCTGTTACTTCGTTACATCCGCGCGTTTTCATTATGCGCCCCTCCGTTTATAAACGTATCGAACATTAAGATTGGCGCGACGACTACGTAAATCGATCGAGACGTTCATTTTTTGAATCCACGTTCGAACCGCGTTGATCAAATAAAAACGCAACGCAACGCCGCGATTTGCGCCGCGTTTATTAATTAATCGAACGTTTTAAATATTCCGGTTTTTAATTATTTAAATCAAGCTCGATCAGTGTTCCTCGACGGTTTTATTATCGACGAAGCATTATTAATTTTCAGTGTCACGTAATTTTGGCGGGATCTGACGCCGTTTACTTATATGTAAAAATCCTATTTAAATTTCGAACATTGGGAAACTACTCTCCGGTCCTGTAATAAGCAAAATGAAGAAGGGTAAGATGAATTTTTTTTATGTTTTGTATTTTTCTTTTTTTCGCGTACACAACGAAGGATTCCTCTTTCGAAAACATTTATTTAAGAAGCGATCGCGACGTGCGCATCGCACAAGGAAGAAACAGAAAATGACAGTTTCGGTTGCCTACAAAAGAGCTATGACTTATTTATCCTTCGTGAGGATACTTTTGGTTTCCCTCGATGCTTCGGAGTCTGCGAAATAATCGATACCTTCAGCATATCGCCTTCTCTCCTCTCTTTAGCTCCTTTTCGCTTTGAAAAATCGTTATTCACATTTCATGTCTACAATCGGAATTCTTTCGGCGACCGTTACGGATGACGAAGGTCTTGCGACTCCCTCGTCTATTTTCTGCGCTATGATACGATCGTGTGAGAGGCAGGTAACTTGGCGAACGAGACAGGCATGGCGAGGCGAGGCGAGGCGGCGAGGCGAGGCGAGGCGAGGCGAGGCGAGGCGGGCCAAACCAAGCCAAGCCAAGCCAAACCGAAAGCCGAGTCGAGCCGAGACAACACGAGACAAGACGGAGGCAAGTCTTCAGACCAAGGCGGATGGTGACGCGATTGCGCGGAAATGGCCGACGGGCTACGACGACGAACGAAGGAGGATAACCGGTGGCTTTGCGAGGAGGAAAGGGGAGGAAATCCTCCATCGTCGCCAAGGGACCGGACGGCCTTCAGTAGCCAGCACGTGCTGCGCTAGCCGGTCGCATTTTATACATCGCTCTCTTTTCCCAATTCTTGTCCCTTCCTTTTATTTTTATTTTATTCCTTTTTTTTTTTTAATTTTAATTTTTTTAATTCGTTTTAATTCCTTCTTCGAAAGAACGCATTTAAGATTCGACTCTACTTTTAATCCTGGCTCGTACCCGTCTCTCCGTTTTCTTTTATCCTTCTGCGAGTGCAACTCGCACGTTATAC